TATTTTATTAGATTTTTCTGTCCCTACTCTTAAAACCTCCCCCCACCCTTCTTCTCTCTCTCATTTCAACCTTGCCATGAATTTTTTCTCTTCTACCTAAACTAAATTTGTAGTGATATAGTTATTCCCTGTTTCCTTTTGTGTAAAACAGAGAAAGGCCGGTCACCGTTTTTGGTGTTATAACCATTTCTAGTAATTGAAGTTTGTGATTAGCATTGCCTTCAGTCATTCATTTACTAGCTCCAAATTTAATAATGTCTTTTATTTAACCAATGGACCATCTCTAGTGAGTGTTCAAACTGCATGACTGGAAGAACAAATTTATTTTGGCCAATATGGTTTTCTTGGGCTATGAACTGTGTCCTGTGCTCTTGGCTCATGAGTTTGGAAGAGGTTCTGTCTTATTCTTTAGAGACCAAGAATTAGAAATTCATGGGCTCATTCTTTCAATCTGTGGGAACAGAATAGCAGAGTTTACGCACTCTATTCCTGTGGGATATCAGGGGGTTCTCCCTGAAATCACAGCGGGAAGGGAGTAGACTGTCTTTTCCCAGTTCAGTAAAATTGGGGAAAAATTTGTGAAGAAAATTAAAGGATACAGGATGCTTTATTTCTCTCCATTTTGAAACTGTGATGATATTGACGGTGCCTGGCACATACTAGGCCTTCTCTATTTGCTTGCTAAATTGGTATGTTAAGCTGTGAACCTAGTATATTTCTTTCATTTTTTTTCTTTTAATTTTTCTGACAGTGTTAGGGTTTGAATTCAGAGCCTTGCACTAGCTAGGCAAGGGCGCTACCACTTGGGCCATGCCCTTTTTTACTTTAGTTATTTTTTCAGTATGGGGTCTCGTGTTTTTGCCTGGGTGGCTTGGGTCACAATCCTTCTATTTATGCCTCCTGGGTAGCTATGAGCCACTATTCCTGGCTTGCCCTGTGATATTTCTGAAACAGCATTCTCATGTGACATAGTTTAAGGTGAATGTTGGTATTGAAGAGAACAGGATAGCAAAGCGCAGGCAGATATTAAGTTAACATTTCATCCCTTCCCATCCCATTCCATACATACCTGAATGCCTACCCTGTGCAAGGCCCCATGCTAGGTTCTTGCAATACTAAAAGGAATGAGTCAAAATTCTTCCTCTAGAGGAGCTCATGGTCTAAACGGGATGTGGGGAGTTAAAATTGCTGCAAATTCTTTTCTACTCCTCCAGTTGAGGGGTGGAGACTAATTACTATCCATTTGAATAGGGGATGGCATTAGTGACTTGATTAACCTATACATTGCATCAAGGAGCAACATTTTGTCTTCTGAGGCAAAGTCAAAAGAAGTCTAGGGGCTTCTACTTAGTTCTCTTAGAATGCTTGTCCTAGGGGAACCCAGATGCCATGTTAGAAATTCAAGTACCTTAAGACTGTCATGCTGAAAAGGACATATAGGGCCATTCTGGTTAATAGTCCAAGGGGAGCCCAATGCTCCAGCCATCACTGCCACAGTTCAAAATTTGTGAGTGAAACCATCATGGACCCTGCAGACCAGTACACCTGCCAGGTGAGTGTCATTTTATGACCTCAGTTGACACCATGGTAAGCAGGAGACTCTTCCAGCCAAGTCCTATCCCAGTTACTTATCCATAAAACCAAGAGATATAATAAAAAGTCTATTATTGTTTTAAGCCTTTAAGTTTTAGAGTAGTTGTTACCCATGGAGTAACAACCAGAATGAGGAGGTAAGAAAATAACCAGGATCTAGTAAGAATTCTAATTAAAGGTACGTACAAGTGTTGTTGGGAAATAAATGCTTGGTAAATAATTGACCTGCTCTTGGCAAGGCCAGGCATTGTACCACTTGTTGGGGTTCCTATCATGGCACAGTTTTTGTGAATGGTACCCCTTGGAATTGTGCAGTGCCTCATGTGTGGCCATTGTGGGTAAAAGATAGCTAAGAGCTGGAGCTGGAGCTGGGAACCGAAACGTGCTTCAAAAAGAGAGGAGAGAGTTAAGTGTATTATCATGTGTTTGCAATCCCAGCTATGCAGGAGGTAACAGGTAGGAGGATTGCTGTCCAAGGCTGGCCTTCGCCAAAAGTGAGACCCTGCCTGAAAAACAACTAAAAGCCTGCCTAGCTAGCACGATGTCCTGAGTTCATGTCCCAGTGACTCAAGCAACTGCATCAGGATGAGCAAATCCTTGAAGTCTCAGGTACCAATGATGACCTTAGGCACAGTAACTGGTCCTATGTGTGGGAATGTTCAGTACTGAGGTGGAGGGAGGGGCTGGAAGTGAGCCTGAAAGACGAGAGATGTGAAAGGTCTTATTTTCATACTGTGACAAGCACTCAGGAAAAAGGCAACAGGGAAACATAGAAGATTTAAAAAGCAAGGGAGCAACAAATTTGAAACAGTGCATGTGAAAATTGCAATTCAAAACCCCACAGTCTGTGAAAGACACTGTTTGTTCTTCCAACTGCCTGCCTCTCTCTGAAAGCTTGGCAGATCCATTTTTTATAGGAAAGTCTTAACAGGGGATTACTCAATGATTCATTTAAAAGGATCATTAAAGGAAAATCGAGGCACATCACATCCTGCTTTCTTAATTGCTCATTTATTATTACTGTGGGTGAGATAACGGCTTTGTGTTATTCTTCTAAATAGTGTAAAATATTTATTGGTAAATATAGCAGTGAATAAATTAATGCCAGTTGAGATTTTGTGGGGCATTTTTTTCTCCACTGATAGCCATAATTTTCACTTAGAGAAAAACAATATTGTGCTGGTGTATTCTGGCTTAGAGCTGAGTGAGACCATTACAAACTTAGCATCTGTATGAAGATTCTGTTCTACTTGTTTCTTTGGCATGGCTGGGGTTTCTGGGTTGACCTATAGTTTGTGAAACTAATTTCTTTTCTATGAAAACCATAGTGCTTAGAAAGAGGGCTCATAAAGGTGTAAAATTTCCTTTTTTTTTAGCTGTCACAGCTAAATCCAGTAACAAACTGCTCAATTTATAGTGGCTTTTTTTTTTTTTAAAGTGAGGATAGGTATTTCATTTACCTGAAAGTCCACAGGTACTTGGTTCCATAGAGTTCATTTGGTGGCTTAACAATGCCACCTTGGATCCAAGTTCATGTCTATACAGCATTGTCCAAAAATAAGCAATTTTTTGTTAAATTTTCACAATCCCTCAACAGACTTCTACTCAGGATTTCTTTTCCTGATCTGGGCTCATACACACCTTTAAACAAATCACACAAAACCCAGGAAAAAAGAAAGACTAGAAGAGATAGATCATGGTCCATTCTCTGGGTAGAGGGGAGAGACCCATACCCTCCATCAGCACTGGACTGTTCTGTCTTCAAAGCAAAAAAAATTGTGAGGTGACAAAGGAGTAAAGGCTAATGTGTGTGCATCCTACATTGTCAGCCACAGGTCAAAATGACGTGGGACTTGTGATTTAATGCACACCAGATGGCTAGCTCCACATCCCTGCTGCCAGATACAACCAAAGCAAATAAGACAATGCTGTTCTTGGGGAGAATTAGTGGGCATTGTAATAAAGCAGGCAATTCCTTAGCTGGAGGAATCAATTCAGTAAAATATGTGGATTGTCTACTATATCTTAGGAGATGCGAATATAGAGACTAATAAGACCTAGTTCTTGTTCACAAGAAACTCACAATTCCTTTCACCATTTGCTTTATTCAGTCTGATCACCTGGGGTGTAGAATTCATCCCCTAATGTTATCATGCTGTCATGTGTCCCTCTGAGCACATGGGGCACCACATTGCTAGGACATCTTTTCTCTCCCTTTCTACTTGGTTTCTCTGACTCATCATCACTCATGGACCTGCCTGGGTTAAAGGCTCCTTTCCTGGATTCTCCCTCTCCCAGCATTTGTGTGTATTTTTGCCACAGGCATGGCTATCCTGGGTCCTGACCATCTGCCAGCTGTGTACACCTCAGCCAGGCCTGGAATCCCATGATGGCAGATTGTGTTTTGATCAATTTGTATCTTCACTGCCTAGCTTGGTGACTAGAACACAGATGATTTCCAGTGGATGTTTGTGGAATGAATGCATGAATAATTGAATGAAAGGAAATGAAATTTGGATCCTTTATTCCCCTTCAATAAGTTTCTACCTTATTACTTTTTCTCTTTCCTCTTTTTCTCACCTTTCCATTTCCTCTCTTATTTTCCTTGCTCATTCAAAATTAAGGAATGAATCCAGCATTTTAAAAACTGCTCAACATTTTCACAATGTTACAAAAGGACTTATCTCCCTTTTTCTTCAGAGAAAGATGGGGTGTGCTTATAATTGATTCATAAATGTCATTATTGATCAGGGAAACAAGAACTTTGTTTTTCTACTGTGTACCATCTTTGTGTCCACTTTCAAAGGGCTAGAGTTATGCAGCTTCCCCAGATAGGTCAGTTTCAGGGATGCTTTTTGGTTCCTGTTTCCATCTTCTGGCAGACTAGTGAGGGGAAAGGCACCAAGTTGTATACATGTATGTACAGTATGATGAGGGACATTAGGATAGCATATGCTGAGATTCCCCTTGTTAGGTCAACAGTAGTGTGAGTACACCAAGTCTTCCTGGGGAAATACAGATGCCAAGTGCTTGGGCATCCCAGGGGCCTCATCTACCCAGTATAGGAGGTAGTGAGTTCAGTTTGGTATTTTGTCCATCATATTTTTTTTGCACTAATTTTGATTTGCAAAAATATAGTATGAAGATATGTATTTTGATTACTATTTTTTTTGAGACCCTGAAATTTTGTGCTGAAGTAAGTAGCCCTGGATGGGTTTTGAAGTATGACTTTCTAGGGCTGGCAGCATGACTCAAGTGGTAAAACATCAACCTTGCAAGCATGAGGACCTTAATTCAAACCCCAGTACTGCCAAAAATATTAATTATTGAAGTATGACTTCCTGAAAGGTATGAGGTTTATTAGACTCCATGATTCTTTTGGGTTCAATTTGGTTTCATTCAACTAATGCTTATTGCACATTTTCTCTGGAATAGTCCTTGTGTCAAGCACTGGGGATATAGATATACACAAAACTTAATCCCTTCTTTAAAGATTTTAGTATCTAGGAAGCAAGATTGTACCCTGGTGCCTACACTGTATGGTAAGTGCACTGTCAGAACTGAGCCCAGAGTCATGGGGAGACAGAAGGGATCCTGGACTCCATTTGTTTGTGGAATGGAGATCCCATGGGGGCTATGATGCACTTGAAGATGAGTCAGTATTGACCAGGGTGACAGAGAGAGTCACCAAGAAGTGGAAGGGTATGATCAAAGGTGAAGAGCAAGGAATGGCCTGGTTGGTCAGGAAACTACAAGTGGTTCCACATTGCTGGAATGTGTATTTGGGGCAGGAATGTTGAAATGGATAATGAAGTTGGAGACTTCAGTAGAACAAGGTTGTGAAGAACTTTGGAAAGCATATTAATGAGCTATGTCTTTATCCTAAACATAATGGAGAGTTACTATAGCCTTTGAAGCAGATGACTGTGAGTCTTACTCATGGGAAGATTAAGAATATGCCTTAAATAACATACCAGAAAAATGTTACAATGCAAACACTGCTAGTCTGAATGTGGGAACCTAGACTGGGTTGCACTTCTGGGTCTGCTATATGGATTGTCTCAGGGAACTCAGCAAGTCCTCTTATCCTCTGAACTCAGAATTCTCCCTGTATAACAAGGGGTATAGTATCAATCATTACAAGGATCCTGAAGAGCAACGCCATGATTTGGCATTACCCTGGGTTTCTTGTGAGAAAATATATCTGCGTTTGCCAAGGCAGTATTTGCCTCACAACACGTTGGTGGACTTCTGTTTTTTCTGTGTCCTGCATTACAAAATAACACAAGTCCTCTAAATTACCTGAAGTCTGGGCTACATTGGCCCATGAAGCTCCCTTTTCTTTGCTATTTCTATCAATTATCATTACTTATTTTCTTATGAAGCTTGTTGTGGCTACTGTAAGACAGGTCCCTAAAGAGGAGTCTTGAAGACTAAATATGGAAGCATATAGCCTCTGAAACCCATGTCTCAGTGAGTCCACTCATTATTTAAGGAGGGCCCCCGTGTCCATTCTTTCTCTATATGGGGTATTTCTTAGTAGAAGAAAGCACAGCTCTGCTTCCTCTTTCATGTGCATTCCTGACCACACTACCTCCTTCCTCTTGCATCCTTCCTTTAAGATGACTGCCTGTGTTCTCATTGCAGAGCTCCTCTGATAAGGCATCCATTCTGGCCATTCTTCAGGTCCTTGGAGATCTGCTTTCTGTTGGTAAGTAGGCTATGCTTTCTTGTAATTGTATGGTGGATGTGGGGCCATATGGCTGTGGTCAGTTCTAGCAATCTGTGAGTCTCCAGCTCAGGTTTCTTGTGAGGGACAGAATCACTAGCCCAGGTTTTCCTTTGAGGTAATTAGTCATGGGATGGACTGGAATGATTCTATTTGGGTTCTTCTAGAGGCCAATTAGATGCTGAATGGCTATTATATAGTTTCTCGTCTGTAAGGCCAAGGATACAAGGGGTCTATGGTACTCCCCTTAGGAAGGGTTGCCCTCAGCCATTGTGCCTTTATCCTCCCTTTGCTCCCTTCCTTTGTGGCTCACTTGGGGAGCTTCCTTACATATGTTAAGTGGAGACCAGAAGATGAAGTAGGAGTTGGACTTTGAATTTTGGTAAGGTCAGAGGTAAGGTGACAGAGCTGAATGCTTTGGGATCAACTGAGTTCACTGGAGCCTGTTTTTATTAGCTCAAGTTCCTGCTGAAGTTCTTGGATAGTCCAAGTTCACTCCATTTGCATTTCTATGTGTTCCAATTGCATTACATTAGAAAAAAATAGCACAAAGGTAATACCAAGAATGAATGCCACACCAAAGCTGGAGCTTAGGGATCCCATCATATTTAGGGTCTTTTCCCTGGCTGTACTATTCTCTACTGCCAGGGCAACTTCCCTACAGACTTTTGACTGAGTTCCCTCTGTAGGTAAAGTCACTTGTCTTCAGTTGTCCAGAGGTGTCTGAAATGAAAGCTTGGTATTATCTCTCTGATTCAGGTGGTAATTATCTTCCCTCCCTCCCTCTCTCTCTTCCTACTTTCCTTCTTTTCCTCCTTCTCCCGTGTTCTTTCTTCTTTTTTGATGGAGGTTGCTATTTTTTATTAGGTTGAAAATTGGAGGATCTTCTTTGATCATATCACACCTTGCTAGTCATCTTGGTTAAGCTATCCAGGAGCTTTACCTAGTTGCAATGTAATCACTGCTTTTGATTTTGTCCTTGGGCAAGGTAGAGGAGGCCCTTGTTCAAAAGTGTTCTCAGGTAGAAGGACCAAAACTTCATTCTTAGTCTAGACTCTTCAAAAGTCCCTAACTAGACTGATTGGACATTTGTTTGTTTCTCAAGGGATTACTCCAGTTGGTCCACATGTTTTTCTCCTACCAGTGGCTAAAGGCCTGCAATAGAAAATCATACTGTGTTTAAAATTATTCTAGATAAATCATTACCCCAGTCCCTGTTACTAATAATGTAAACCTATGGCAGGAGGATATTAAGTATATGATGATAGGAAAGCTTTTGTGCCTGTTTATGAAAATGTTCATACATGTACACATATCGCTGATGACTCAACAGGATCCCAGGGATTCTAGCCTTCATTTGTTATGGTGGCTGTAGGCTATAGGTGGCTCTAGGTTCTTAAATCACTATTTTCCCATTTCAAACCTCCCTCTCTTCACCAGGTAGCACAACTTAAACATAGGTTGTTTCAAGAACCACCTAACTTTTGTTTCTGGGGTGAAATGAACCAACCTGCTTTGTCTCTAGCTGTTAGGCCTGAGTTCTTCTCTAAGAAAAGTGAGGGTTATTATTTGTGGCTTATCTTTTTCCGGTTTCCCCCCAGGCACGGACAAGAGGATTCATTACATGATTAGCAAGGGCGGCAGTGAAGCCCTTCTGCAGACCCTGGTGGACACTGTGAGGACTGAGTCTCCTGACTACGACATCCTCCTGCCTCTATTCCGGCTGCTGGTCAAAGTTGGCCTACGAGGTACCCAACTCCATGACCCAAAAATGACTGAAAAGGCCCTCTGGAGTTCTTATCACGAGAGTAATTTGGGAAGCTTTTGTAGGGAGGCAGCAGGGAGGTTGTGGGTAACTTGGTGTTGCCAGCAAGACCAGACCCATAGGGGAGGCAATTTTTTGACCTCATATTAGCCAACCCCAGGTATGGTACTTAGGATAGCAGGCATGGAGTACAGGGGTATGGCCCATAGGGTAAAAAGAGGGAGCTACTCCAATGCAGTTTTCATTTAAAAAATAAATGAAATGTATTTACAAATTGCATCTTACATGCAAATCCATTATTAGTTTCCTAGAGCTTCCGTAACAAATTGCCACAAGAGGGGTGGCATAACACGAGAGAGACATATTCTCTTACAGTTCTGGAGGCCATAAATCCAAAACCAAAGCAGTGGCAGTGCCAAATTCCTCCTGGAGGCTCCAAGGGAGTCTGTTCTATGCTTCCTTCCTAGCTTTGGTTGGTTGCCAGAATCTTTGGTGTTTCTTGGCTTATAGATGCATCACCCCCATACCTGTCTTCATGTTCATGTAAGTGCTCTCCTCTGTGTGTCCTCTCCTTTTTATATAGAGACATTTGTACAGCACCTTATTCATGGATTGATTACATATTGTTTGATTAAGCATGGTCAAGATATTGAATAAATAAAAAAATCAAAAGAAATTTCAAAAACAAAGATTTTAAATTCCTGTACACTCATTATGCAGGTCAGTTGATATGGAGAAGTTCTCAGTCAGTCCCGTTCTATTGTCAGTTGTGTTTAAATTGTTGTGTGATCTGTAGAGTGTTTCTCTGCCCTTCATTGTGTGAAAAAGCAAATGGTGCCTAAAAGCAAGGTAAAAATCAATGTGCTTAATTGAAGCAATACAGTGAAAATTTGTATTTGTTGAAAGGTGGCATGTCTTTAGCAGAAGTTGAATGAATTTCTGGGAAAAAAAGAATCAAGTATCTGCGGTATTTGAGATAAAGAGGATGAAATAAGATCTAGTTTCTGGTGAACAGCACTAATGTGTACAACAGTAACTTTTGTGGCAGTAATGTGGCCTGTTCCATGTGGTTTCAAGTGATGGATATTCAGACCTATTATACCTATGTATGGTGTAGGCAAATTTGAATTATTATAGAGTACTAAACTCTGTACATGCTGAGCACGAATGGCTTTTCCTCAGTGGTGGTCTCCTTGGAACTACATACCCACGGATACCAAGGGTCTACTGTAGTTAGATTTGGGGACTCATCAGATTAACTAATTCAATCTACAAAGACTATTTCAAAATAAAGTAACGTTCTGAGGTTCTGGGTGGACATGAATTTTGGTGACACTATTCATTCAACTGACTATAATAAAATAGAGATTCCCTAGTTGAGAGGAAGTGGGAGTCTGAAATCTTTCCACTTACATTCCATGGTCATTTCTCTTTCCCCATGGAGGATTCTGAATTACCTCTCTAGAACCCTGTAGCTTCTTGGAACACAATTAAAAACCTAAGCTCCAGAGCTCATGCAAACATTGCAAACTTCTCATAACAGTTAAGCCTAAATTGTACATTGAGTCTTATGCAGGTCACAACTGAGACACTCAGGCCTTCTGAAACCTGGATCTTTGATGTCTACTGCTAACAGCTTTAGTCAAGGGCCTAAGAGTTCTGAGCCACTCTTAGCCTTCAGTGCTTCAATTTCTACTTTGATTCTATTCAGCATTCCACAGATAATAACTGGGAAATAGGTATCAGTTAGTATGCATATGAGCATGTCCCAGATACAACAAAATTAATTTAGAAAATATTCATCAGGTATTTACTACATGCCTCCCAGGGCCAGGTGCTGTTCTAGGCACTAAGAACACCACTGTTACCAGAACGGTTGAGGAACGTGCTCACACAGAGCTTGTGTTCCAAGTGGGACAGGCCAACAAATCAACAAATAATGAATTGAATGAGAGCAGATTGTGATGAATACTTCAAGGAAGAGAGTGATGCTACTCAAAGATGTCAAGGCCAGGAGAAGTGACATTTGAGATGAAATATGAACAGGAGAAAGTCAGCAAAACTGAGTGGGCCAAGTGAACTCTAAGAAAACATAGTAGAGATGTGATATATATCCTGATCATAAGTAGTGTGAGCTGGGAAGTTGAGTCTGTTTCAAGTCTGGCCTTGACGCATACTAACTGTATGAGCTTGGGCAAGTGACTTAAAGCTTCTTGAGGTGTAGTACTTAATTCTAGGGCTGCTGTGGGAAGTAAATGAAGTATTATTTGCCATGAGCTTAGCATGTGGTATCAGGGGCCTGACAGAGAAAAGCCATGTGGCTTTCATAGAGGAAAGATGACAGATACACAGAACAGTGATTTCCAAGTTATGGTTTTGTGACAATTATGTCACTGTGGTTTCTGCCATCAAGAGGTTATAGTCCTCGACAATGACATCTAAGTTACCACGGACTACCCCAAACAGAAGAGAAAGGAGTTTGGCTGCTCATGGGTGGATGGGGTAGGTATTTCTTTTCTGATGAAGGGAATGGGTCATGAAAACTTAAGTATAATCTTTTGGTGGTGTCCTTTGGGCCAGAGTTAAAATTGGTAAACTATGGTTTAGGGTATGGCTTTTTTACTTACTTTCACCTAAAATGAATCTGCTTTTTAAAGTGAATTTTTTTGTGTGTGTTTAGGAGGTTTACAACATGACACCATAGAAGACATGTAGAAGTAAAATCATTTCTATGTGAGGCAGATTCACATATCTATCATCTCACAAAGTTACTTTATTTGGGTGTCAAGAACAGCTGAAATCTACTTATTTAGCAAAAATCACGAATACAGTAGAGTTTTATTAATATTAATCCTCATGTTATAATTAGATCTCTAATTATATGTATTTGCTATTTTATATCCTTTGACTTTCACTCCCTGTTTCCTTCCCTCAGCCTGTTTGCTATTGGTAAGCATTGTTCCATTCTCTATCTTTGGGTATTTGAGTATCAACTCATGCTGATAAGGTAGCTATTATCAAAAAGATAAGAGAGAACACATGTTGGTGAGGGTATAAAGAAAAGGGAATCACTGTACACTGTTAGTGGGAATGTAGATTGATATGGCCATTATGGAAAACAGTAAAGCACTTCCTGAAGAAATTTAAAATAGAACTACTATACAACCAAGAAGTTCCTCTTTTAGGTATATATCCAAAGGTAAGGAAATCACTAATGTGTAAAGATATCTGTACTCCCACGATCACTGCAGCATTATTCATAATTGCCAAGACACAGAAATAACAAGATTACCCATTGATGGATGGAAGAAAAAAGAAAATATCGCATACATACACAATGGAATATTATTTACCTTAGAAAAGAACGAAATCCTGTTATTTGTTGCAACATGGAACTAGAGGGCCTTATGCTAAGTGAAATAATCCAAACAAGAGAGAAAAATTTGCAATGAATATGAGGGGACTGTGGAGGGAGGTTTTGTTTTTTTCTCCCTCCCTTGTTAGAACGAGTTTTCTCTCTTGCTCCTGGCTATTACTGAACCTAACTGGCCTTATTTGGGGATGACTGGAGATTCAGAGAAGACACAGGATAGACAGACAGACAGAAAGTGGGATCAGGTGTGTTAGGTGCTTGGGTGGAGACACCCAACCCTCATTGTTTCTTTTCTCTATCTTGATTCTTTAAGGCCTTGCTCCTTGCAGCTGTTTAAAACCTTGCTTCTAAAGTCTTCTTTAAAACCTTGCTTAAAACCTCTTTCCTTAGGCTTGCACTGTCCCGTGTTTTCTCTCAGTTTATCTTTAGCTTAATCGCTCTTAAAGTTTTTTGCCCCCAGGCTTGCAGCTTTTCTTTAGCTTTCTTAAAGCCTGGGTGCTCAGACTTGCAAAGTCTTGGTCCTCAATCTTGCACTGTCCCGTGTTCTCTTTGGCTTTTCTTTAGCTTCTAAGGCCCTATGTTAAAGTTCTTTCTTTGGCTTTGCTTTTCTAAGGCCTATGTTAAAGTACTCGGTGCAGACTTTCTATCAACTCCTCTTTAGCCATTCTTTTCCCTTCAGTAATTCTTCTCCCTTCCAAAAGCTTCCCACACCAAAAATCCCAAAGCAAAAGAATCAAGGCAAAGCTCCCCAAAAACCCAAGCCCCCAAAAGTCCTCCAAACCAAAAGCCAAAGGCAAAAAGCAAAAAGCCCCCAGCCCTCCTTCAGGGGGCCTTTTATAAACAGTGGCAAACAGGGTGGAGCAGAAACTCTCGGGAGTGGCGTGACATTGTAACAGGAGAAACCTGCATTCCTGCTCCTCTGAATGCAAGCTTAGGAGAAGCAGCTGTTCTGCTTTTTTCTGTTCGTGGCCGGGGCTGTACCTATCTCAACCTACAGGTCAAAGCAATTAAGCTGCATCTCACCTTGCTTACATCCAGTTCTCATAAGCTTTTCATAATCTGCTCTCCACAGGACTGGATTTCTGTAAAAACAAGCATGATAGTTTCGGCATCACACTTTGGAAAGGACACAGACAAATGCCACTGGGTACACTGTCTCTTGTATCATAGTGGAAGCAAGGAACATGGAATAAAATGTGTCTTTCCCTTGTTCCCAATGCTTATTTTCTAACTATTAAGACAATGACTTATCTGCCATACTAGACTTTAGGTTATTTGGAGCAATAATTTAGAGTTAGGGGAAATTTTTATTTTCTTAAGGTCTGTTTTGATTTTTCATTATGAAAATGCTCTGTCACATAGAAACATAACCTCTTATGTACCTAAAAGTTTCATCTAACCATTATGAACATTTTTTCATATTTTCTTCATCTATTTATTTTTCATTTGAAATATTTTAAGAAAAATTATAGATAACATTGTGCTCCAAAATCTTTTTGAGTGCCTTTCTTTGAAAAAGTGACATTTTCCCACCTAACTACAAATCATCATTATGAATTTAATAAAATTAACAATATACGCATTAATGTATGGTTATTCTAATTTCACCAAATGTTCCCAAGTATCTTTTAAAGACATATTCAAAATGGGATCCAATCAAACTCACATATTATATTTGATTGTTATGCTACTTAAGTATTCTTAATTCTAGAAATGTCATAAAGGAAGAAAATGATACCCAACCAAACTGGAGTTCACATGTGATGCAACCCAAAACACCTTTATATACAAGGCTTAAAAATCCTTCATGTAAACAATGTGCATCCAGAATTAGCTCTTCAGATTTATTTGGCTCCAAAGAGGACATATTTTGCAGTATTATTTTTACTAGGTCTAAAAGTATCTTTAGGTTGGATAATTCTCATCCTTCTACTGTCTTCCTCTTTTCTACTCCATAGATTGTAAAGTCTTCAGAATTAATGTGCATCAAAACTAAGACAGACTGACTGATTTGTGTTCCTAGATAAACAGTTTGGACAGAAGGCACTGGAATTGGAAGCACTTGATGTGACATTGATTCTGGCCAGGAAAAACCTGTTCCATAGCCAGAACCTGCTGCACTGTCTCTGGGCTCTGCGTGTTTTTGCTTCCAGCGGTAAGTGACGCTATTGTGGACCACTGGGATGTGGCTGGGATGCCTGGAAACCATGTGGGGGTTTGGTGGAGTGAAAATGTGAGTGGAGGATATATGTGGTCCCAATCATATAAATAAAGGAACCTGACAATCCAGAGCCCATGGAGGTAAGTTGTTTCTTCATCTCTTACTTAGCCAGCTGGAGCTCTTGAGCCATTTCCTAGAGATAGATTTTGATATTGGTTTTCCCCAAGAGTAACCTATTACAGCATGCCATGTTTCTGTATTAGTGCTATCAGGTGAAGAAGACCCATGACAGAAGAAAGGCAGACTTTCTTTAGTTCTTATCATATCCAAGACCCAGTGTTATGTGTTACACCTGTCAGGAATGACTTTTACAAATCTTCTTACCACATCCCTAAACCTACTCATTGGTTATAATATCCTTCACTTCTTTCTTTCTTTTTTTTTTTAAATCTCATGATCCTTTTAAACAAAGTCCTCCAGGTGACTATTGTAGAAATCACAGCACATGGGCTGATACTTGCTATCTCCTGATCTGTACTGTTTTTAGTTACCATAATGTTATATTTCTAGTCATAATTTTATAGCTAAGAAAAAATAAAGAAGTTTATCAGAGTGAAATAATTGCTTCAATTGATACAGATAAAAAGTCATGAAAGGCCAAATTTCTAACTACAATTTTTATTGATAGATTAGGTTTTATACCTCTTATCTCACATGTAATGAGCACTGACTTTCATTTCTGCTTCCTGAGGGCCCTTCCTGTGAAATGAAAATGACAATTATTTAGATGCAATATATTCTATAGGGGGGAAAAATATAGGCTTAGAGCCAGAAAGACCTGAGTTTTACTCTGATTCACTTTCTTATGAGTCACATAATTACTCATGAGTGACTATTTAACCTCTTTAACTCCAGTTTCTTCCTTTCCAAAATTAGTGCAGTAATAGTTATTACTATTAATCTGCTAGGTCTGGCCATAACAAAATACCATAGTCTGCATGGCTTTAACAGCAGGAATTAATTTTCTCATATTGCTGAAGGCTAGAAGTCTGAGATCAAGATGTCGGTGGGTTTGGTTTCTTTTGAGGACTCTCCTTGGCTTCAGGAAGATGGCTGTGTTCTCTCTGTCTTCACTGTTTTTCTTTGAGCATCTTTTGTGTGTTTCAGTATCCTCTCTTTAGGACACAAGTCAGATTAGATTATGCCACACCCTAATGGCTTCATTCTAATTACTTCTTTAGGTAATAAAGATCAGGGATTTTAACATAAGATTTTTAAATTTTTTATTATTTTATTTTATTTATTCTTTTTTTTTTTTTTTTTGTGGAAGGGAGTACCATAGCA